TGTGGCTCAAGTGGAAGAGCGCTAGCCTTGAGCTGAAGAGCTGAGGGACAGCTCCCAGGCCCAGAGTTCAGGCCCCACAACCGGACCCAAAAAAAAAAAAAAACCGAGAGCTTTGGGATATATCAAAAAGTGAATGTGCTGGGCACCAGTGGCTCGTGCCTGCCTGCCTATGATCCTAACTACTCAGGAAGCTGAAATCTGAGGTTCACAATTCAATATGAGCCTGGGAAGGAAAGTTCATGAAATTCTTATCCCAATTAACCACCAAAAATGCTGAAGTAGATCTGTGGGTCAAGTGGTAGTGCATTAGCCTTGAGTATAAAAGCTCAGGGACAGTGACTAGGCCCTGAATTCAAGCCCCAACACTGGAATATATACAGAGACATATACATACACATACATGTGTACAAACACACACACACACACACACACACACACACAAGTGACTCCAGCCTGCTGGCACAAAAAGGAAAACCAGATCTATACTCTCAGAGGGTTCTACCCTTACCAGTATATCCAGGAAGGCTAGGTACTGGTTTTCAAGCTAATTCATTATGCCTGGATCTTCTGAATTAATAATGAAAAAATGAACTAGTTATAATAAAAAATAATTTTTCTGGTAGCGTTTCTTATCCTGAAGCTGCACATAGAAGCTAAGTAATCTGGGGAAAATCAAGACTATGAATAATATAAATATTGTTAACTGTGTGCCAAACATTGTAGTAGTAGGAAAAACAATAACAACAAAATACATTGTATATAGTATGCTAAATGATGAAAGTGCTACAGGGAAAAATAAATCTAGGAAGGGAGTATGTTTGGTTTTGACAGTATTGGGGTTTGAACTCAGGGCTTTGTGCTTGCTAAGCAGGCATTTTACCACCTGAACAATGCCCCAGCTCTTTTTGCTCTGGTTATTTTCAAGATAGGGTTTTTCTTTTTCCTTAGGCCAGTCTGGACTATGATCCTCCTATTTTATACTTCCTACCATAGCTGGCCTGACAGGTGCGTGCCCTGCACCCAGCTTTTTCTGGTGCTATAGGGTCTTGTGAATGTTTTGCTTAGGCTGATTAGAATAGTGATCCTCTCTGGCTCCTGAAGAGTGGGGATGATATGTATACCCTAGTGGGCCCAGTTATCATTATTGCTATTTTAGATAGGAGAGTTAGAAAACAGCATGTTTATTGCAGAGAAAAAAAACTGCAGAAGAGACCACTGGCACCCAGAGAAGAGAGCCACTGGCACCCAGCTTTGTCTGGAATTTTAAAGTAGAGCCAAAACTGTGCTTGCTTGATGGGTTGAATTATAAAATATGAGAAAAAGAAGTTAAGGATGATCCAAAAAATTTTTTATCAGACTAATAGAGAATGGCTTTGCTATTAAAGGAGTAATTAATACATTTTATCCTCTTCAATAAAGCCAGTTGTGAGCAGATTGTGAACCTGAGCTCAACCAATCTGAGCAGAAGGGCAGAGCCTGATGCAATTTACTGAACCAAAAAGAAAATTTCCTCTTCCTAGTCAATCTTTCTAGGAGTCCTAGAATGAATCATTCAGTAGTTTGTCCATCTGTCAATTCCTTGGCTGAGTCCTGAGTCTAAGATATTATTGAAGGAAATAATCAAGGCAAAGCATGGTGTTGAACTACAAGACTCTTAATCTAATGTGAGGGAAATAATTATTAAAGCCTTAGAAGCAAGGGAAGGGGTGACACTGTCCAAAAAGAAATGTACTGTTTACCTGACTTATGTAACTGTAACTCCTCTGTACATCACCTTTATAATAACAATAAAATTAATTAATAAAAAAAATTAGCCCTGGGGGTATAAACAATGAGATACATTCCAGCCCTTGTCAGGCTGAAAGAAAAACTAGAGTAATATATGAAGTGCCCTTATCTAAGATACACCATGTTTTAGGTTAGGAAGTATGGTAGGAAGCAAGAGAAAAGTGAAGGTGTGTTGTGAAACAGATGGCTTAGAAGTAGCGCATAGCTTCATATATCATTGAGGCCCTAACCCTCTCTAGTTCCTAATACTGTATTTCTATATCTGATTTCAGGGGATGGTTGAAAAGCTATTTGTGTTGAGAGACAGAGTATGCTGAGTTGTATCCCACAGGGATCTTCAGCTCCCTCAAGAATGATGAGGTGCTAGTTCCGTTGTGAGGTAACACTAACTAGTGTGCTTCTCCCTTTTCCTCACTCTATTTGAAGCTGTTAGGGGCCACAGCCATAGAAGACAAGCTGCAAGATGAAGTACCTGAGACAATCAGCACTTTGAACAAAGCCAAAATTAAAATATGGGTTTTGACTGGTGATAAGCAAGGTAAAGGGAAGCTTCTAGCCTGAACCATCCTTAACACACTCACTTTAACTATTTCTTTTCTTCTTCATTTTCTTTTATTTTTCTCTGAGCAATTTTTTTGACAAATGCCTGCAACTAAGATCAAGACCTTACAGTACACTTTCATTTCCAGTTTTGTATTCAGTTTTTCTGAGCATATTCTTTTTTTGGGGGGGGGTCCGGTTGTAGGGCCTGAACTCTGGGCCTGGGTGCTGTCCCTCAGCTCTTCAGCTCAAGGCTAGTGCTCTACTACTTGAGCCACGGTGCCACTTCCGGCTTTTTGCTTTTTGCTTATGTGGTGCTGAGGGATCGATCCCAGGGCCTCATGCATGCAAGGCAAGCGCTCTACCACTGAGCCACCTTCCCAGCCCCTCTGAGCATATTCTTGATGTTAGATGCTATATTAGTTATTGAAGACATAGAGATCAATCATTCAGAAATGACTTGCCAGTCAAAATAATACAGGCTAAATACTTTTAAGTTGTCTTTGACTATTATATTCCTCTTTGTTGTCCCAAGGATCCATTTTTTCATCATGCCACATTAATTTGAAAATTCACTGGAGTATACCAGCATCCTAGTTCAGCCTTCATACTTTGTTATCTGTATTTCTGCAAAAAGATTCTTACCTGATCTTTCTTTTGCCCTTACTGATTTCAACATAGCCCGCATACAACCATCAGCTTAATCTTCTTCAAACTCATTTTATGATGTCACTCCATTGAGGTACATACAGTCTGACCATGTTATATAAGTCAGACTCCTCAATCTGGCCTTCAATCTGTTGCTAACCAGGCATTCTATCTCCATCCTAATATGACTATTAGGATGTCCCCAAACATTCAATTTTTACTGTAGAGCCTAAGTTTGGGTTGTTTCCCGACTTGAAATAACTTTCCCTACCCTAAACAATCCTATTCATCCTTCAGAAGTTCTTCCTGCCAGAAAGTGTCTATGACTATTGAGATCTCTCAATTCTCATACAAGTTATAGCCAGGATTCAGGATTTAATTTAAATTTTTTTCTTCTTGGTATGAATTTATTTCAAATCTAGGTCTCTCAATGTAAAAAAAAAAAAGCATAAAACTTGTCTCAGTCACTAATACAATTTAGCATAGGCACAGTGCTGTTTGAAAAACTATATCCTGATTGTCTAGAGAAATGAATACAGACTGGAATTGTTTTGCAAAGTCAGGGGAGGCAGCCTGGCAGCAGTGGCTCATGCCTGTAATCCTAGCTACTCAGGAGGCTGAGATCTGCGGGTTATGGTTCAAAGCCAGCTGAGGCAGGAAAGTCTAAGATTCTTTTTTGTTGTTGTTTTTTGTTTGTTTGTTTTTGGGTCCGGTCATGGGGCCTGAGCTCTGGGCCTGGGCACTGTCCCTCAGCTCTTCAGCTCAAGGCTAGCGCTCTACCACCTGAGCCACAGCGCCACTTCCGGATTTTTTTCTTTTTGCTTATGTGGTGCTGAGGAATGGAACCCAGGGCCTCAGAAGTGCTGTACCACTGAGCCACCTTCCCAGCCCTGGCTGTGAGATTCTTATCTCTGATTAACCACCAGAAAACTGGAAGTGGCACTCTGGCTCAAAGTGGTAGAGCACTAGCCTTGAGCTCATTGTTTATACCCCAGGGCTACTTTTTTATTAATTAATTTTATTGTTATTATAAAAATGATGTACAGAGGGGTTATAGCACTCAAGTCCTGAGTTCAAGCTCTCAAGCTCCATGGCCAACAACAACAACAAAAGTAGGGTTAGGCTTTCTAGAGAAGGCTAAGCCTGAAACTCCTAGTAACTAACAAATAACTCACAAGTATTTACCAAGTAGACACTCACTTGTGGCTGTTTGCATATAGTCTTCAATGGTTTAGAAAAACGTATTATGACTGCATCCAAATTTGTCTACATAGCAAATGTAGACAAATGGACTAAGCCCACTGTTGGAGCCTATATGACTACATCTTATTTAAAAAAAAAAAAAAGAACTACCTTTCTACAAACATCAGCCAAAGTGAGACTTGTGTTCCCTTCTCTACAGAGACTGCTGTGAACATTGCCTACTCCTGTAATATATTCAAGGATGAAATGGATGAGGTGTTCATAGTAGAAGGCAAGAATAGTGAGACAATTCAGAAAGAACTCAGGTATGGATGGAAAGTGGCCATACCCAATTCCTGGACCCAAGAATTCCCACTCATAATTTCCCCATAGGGTCCCAACATTACCAGAAGGAATAGGAAGAAATGAAAGAAGGGAAACAAGAAAAATAAAATATTTGAGAGAATTTTTTTAAAAAGCATTCAGACTAAATGCATTGGAGTATGGGGTTTGGAGAAGTGTAGCATATGGATGGACAACAACCTACAGCAGTCCAGTCTGAGGTCTTGCCTGGCTTTGCAGAGGCCCCGTATCCTCCTGTCACTTTCATTTCAGGACACATTTTCCTTCTTAACTTCTGTGTCTTCACAGAATCTAACAATTACTCTTGGCTTTCAGGTCAGCAAGGAACAAGATGAAACCCGAGTCTCTTCTGGAATCAGATCCCATAAACATTCTCCTCACAAAGGAGCCCAAAACACCCTTCAAAATACCTGAGGAGAAACCCAATAGCAACTATGGCTTGGTCATCAATGGCTACAGTCTGGTGGGCAACACAAAGTTATAGCTCTGTTCTTTTCTTCCCTTTAGAAGGGAAATTTCAACACTCCTTCCTTATGAATCCTTTTTTTTCCCCACCTGAGGTTCTCTTGCCTGAAAGACACATTCCCCAAGGTACTCTAGGCCAGGGTTAAAGGAAGAAAGCGAAGTCAAGACAACTTTCTTCTTTAACTAAATTCTTGACTACTGGCCTGTCACTAGGGAAAATGGGAGATCAGGTAAAACCAGACCCTCCAAAAAGCCATTGGTCCTATAGCCTCATCAACTGATTTGACCCAGTGAGATGTCCTGACAATTTCCCATTAGAGGATCCCTACACTCACTTGGGGCGGGGTAGACCTCACTGGAGAGATCTGGCACTTTGAGAGCAGCTCAGCCTGCCCTTCAAAGGACAGAAGAGAAAGGAAGAAAGGGGAGGGATCTGGGAAGACCCTGCCTTAAGAGTCTTTTGGAGCATCCTGAAGAGTGAGTATATATCCTGGTCTTACAGGCCTATGCTCTAGAAGGGGACCTGGAGTTAGAACTACTACGAACAGCATGCATGTGCAAAGGGGTGGTCTGCTGCCGGATGACACCCCTTCAGAAGGCCCAGGTGGTAGAGCTGGTGAAGAAGTACAAGACAGTGGTGACACTGGCCATCGGAGATGGGGCCAATGATGTCAGCATGATCAAAGGCATGTTCAGTAGTCCCCAGCCATGGTTTGCCTCTTTCTTCATTAATGGGCAAAGTGATCTGGGTGGTACTGTATTACTAGCTCATACTCCTACTTGTCAAATGCAATATACATTTTTACTGTTTTTGAAACTCCATTCATGTTCCCCTATACCAGCACCCTCACTTATTTATATCTGCCTACATCTGCCCTTATCCATAAGCATGCATACATTCAAATTCATTCACTTACACTGATAGTAAGTGCACACACAGATCCACATAGTCTCACATGAACCCATGCATACATTTACACAGCAGGCAGTACAACTATATGCCCTCTATCTACAATAGCTTCAGGTTGACAGAAAAAAAAATTCTGGGCCAGAGTTACAGTGTATATTGTTTTGGAAGGCTGTAGCTTATAGTCTCAAAGTACCCTGAGACCATGTTCTGAAGAACTTGCCCTGGCTTCCTTGGCTGAAGGTCACGTCAGACTAATAGAAACAAATGGCCAAAATGCATTGGTTTACTTTCAGGTAAATGTTGTTATCCCCTAGCAGTTTGCCACTGTGTGAGATAAGGACAAAATCTAGAAGTCCTCTAGTCCCAATCTCACGCACCACACAAGCAACACTATTCAGGTTCCACTCAACAGTATTCAACTTCAATTCTACGGAGTATTCTTGCTTGCTTTCCTGTTTCTAGAACCACTCTGGCCTTAGAGGTTTCATTAAGCTATTCAACGGTAATGTCAGTGAATTTGGCCAAAAGAATAGTGAATTACCACAGGCCAATTAAAACTTTTAGGAACTTCAGTCTTACATTCCATCAAATATAATCTTTGCTTTATCCAGAAAAAAACCTAGATCCCCTGCAGAGTTCACTAAAAAAAGTGTGCATGACACATTCTTTCCAACAGAAGTCAGTCCCTTAGATAAACTTAAGTACTTAAATACTGCATTTGATTAGAATCCATCCTGCATCTTTTTAAAAACTTTATTATTATTACTATTATCTTGAAGTAGTTGTACAAAGAAGTTCCCATTCTACAAAACAGCATATGAATACAAGGTGTCTGACAACATTGTCACCCATCCCTCCTAATCCATCCTTTCTCCCACCTATTTTTTAAATTGAGATAGGTGATTGCATAAATATCACATATTTCACAGTATTGTGAAATAGTGATACTTAAAGTCACGAACACATTTTAACATTCACAAGGCAAATTATCATTATCACGGTCTATAAAGTTTGTGAATTCTATGAGCTTTAACAATACAAACGATTCCTGCATCTTTAATTGTTTTAAGTGTCATAAAATAACAGGAATTTTAAATCTCAACATCTTGACAGTGAGAAAGCATCCAGATGGCTAGAGTAGGGGCAAAGGACACCTGGAACAGCTTTCTAGTTCTACTTTTTAGTAGTGGTTGTACCAGGCATCCTTGAGTGGTAACATCCAAAACAAAATGCAGAAGAAGGGACTGTTTTCCAGTTTGTGTATAGAGGGGCAATCCATCGAGAATAAAAGATTCAACTAGGAAGTGTCATTTTGAACTGGGCCTAAATATTTTCCAAAGGTAGAGGTTTGTACAATCTTATCTCAGCATTTCCTTTACACTTCCCAGGGCAGCATCTCAGAAAACAAGCTCTGTGGTTTAGAAGCTTCTGGGTTTTATTACAGCTGCCCATATTGGGGTTGCCATCACCAGCCAGGAGGGGCTGCAAGCCATGCTTAGCAGTGACTTCGCCTTCTCCCAGTTCCACTACCTTCGGCGTCTACTCTTGGTCCATGGTCGCTGGTCTTATAATCGCATGTGCAAGTTTCTCAACTACTTCTTTTACAAGAACTTTACTTTCACTCTGGTGCACTTCTGGTATGCCTTCTACAATGGATTCTCTGCACAGGTATGAGATTAGGTGGCAACCTCCACCCTACTCAACTGGATCTTCTCTAGTCATCCTTGCTTCAGCCATTGCAGACCTTTTTCTACCTCTAGAAACAATATGTAGGCTGGGAGCATCTTATCTAACATGTACAAAGCCCTGGATTCCATCTCTAGTACCAGGGAAAAAAAGAGAATCATGAATGACACATCGCCACCCATTTTGATCCCATATCCCAACTCCACACTACCTCTAAACTTCCAAATCTTAACAGATTTGGTATAGTTCTGATCTGGTCTTGACTCCCCTTCAGAACTCTCCTATAAGCTATTTTAACCTTTCCAGACACTACAGTTCCCAAACATATGTAATGCAGCAAAATTGCTGGATCTGGAATAGCATCCAAAGAAACCTTATGGAACAGACTAAACCTCAAGAAGCACTAGGGCATACCAGACAAGCTATTATAATACTCACCTGTAGCCATACTTGGACCTTCCCTTTACTTCTTCTCTACCCTGGCTACCTGAGTCCCTGCCCCAAAACACATTCAATTGTTACTCTGACGAATGAATTACCATATTTGAACATGAAATCTTCACAACACGAGTGGGGAAGAGTAACAATTGATTTTGATGTCCTAAGAGGAATCCTCTTTCATGGGCAATTTTTCACAAGTCTTTCAAGGATTCCCAAGAGAAAACTTCAGGAATAATCAGCCTGGGAGAGCTCTACACCAATCAACAGACAATGGTAGACATGCATTCCCCAGCAAGCCAGTGTCTGTAGGAGAAACAAGGCTGGTTTGTGAGGTGTGTGTGTGTGTGTGTGTGTGTGTGTGTGTGTGTGTGTGTGTGTGTGTGTGTGCTGCACATGTGGCTGCTGACCTCTTGTGGCTAATAAGCAAAGGAACCCTCTCTAAGGCCCCATGATGGAGCATCCAGCTAGAGAAGAGTAATTGGGACTATCTTGCTAATGTAAAAAATAATGCCCATAAGAAGATAAAGAAAAAAGCCTAAACGTTTACTTTCCTGGGAGTGCAGGGGTACAGCTAGTTTTCTCTAGCAGCCATTTGAGGTTCTTCTATACAGAGAAGAGCAAGTTATAGTTGGGTTGGTCTAGACTAGCCTTGAAAACCTGATATGGCCTTGTCCCATCCTGGACCTAGAGTTCTAAAGAGAGTAAAATTGATTAGATGCTGGTGTTCACAGTCAGATTTCTGAAATCTAAATATTGCTGTATGTTAGTATGGTAATGGGTAGTTAGGGTCCAGGAGAAGGTTGTCTTGGAACTGGGAGGTGACACTGGGGCTTTGGAAAAGGGAGGAATATAAAAAAATCCTTGGTATTCTTCCAGACAGTTTTTGATATCTGGTTTATCGCCTGCTACAATCTGATCTACACCTCCCTCCCTGTCCTGTGCATGAGTCTACTTGATCAGGTAAGACCCAGCAACAAGTCTCTTAATCAGGATTAAAGCCTCAGATGCAAAGAGTAAGAAAGATATCAAGAGCTGAACTTTACAAGATCAAGTATAAAGGATAGAATTTCCAAAACAGGAAAAGTTATCATCATCTATATAGATATCATGAAAGCAAGTATAAGAATTCTTTCATTTTAGGAAACCAAATTTCCATCTCAATTTTGTCCTTGCAGAGAGAAACATAGAAATTGTGTTGTAGTATAAATTTAATGGGTACAAAAGTGGTGAAAAAGGATTACTAAAGCAAGACTGACGGAAATAAGGAACTTCAAGAAAGGAGAGGGACTGGGAAGGTGGCTCAGTGGTAGAATACTTGCCTTGCATGCATGAGGCCCTGGGTTCGATTCCTCAGCACCATATAAGCAGAAAAAAGTCGGAAGTGGCGCTGTGGCTCAAGTGGTAGAGCGCTAGCCTTGAGCTGAAGAGCTGAGGGACAGCACCCAGGCCCAGAGTTCAGGCCTCACGACTGGACCAAAAAAAAAAAAAAGAAAAGAAAAGAGAGGCCCATTCATTGGTGAGGATAAGATAAGCCTATGCAGGAAGGCCTGTATAGGGTATGGGGGGGCCTTAGGGCCCAGCAGGAGAGTCTTGGAATGATACTTTATATCACAGGCAGCAAGCCAAGGATATATTATTTGTTCCTATCAGAAGTTTTCTGGGTATTGAGAATCCTGGCACCCTTCTCCCTTCTCTTCTATACCAGTCCCATTCCTAGGCTCTATAGGAATAAAGTACCTGGGGACATCCAGGGATAACTTAGAGGATGGATCGTGATCCTCAGTCTCCATCAGGGTGGCAGTAGCTTGTAAAGGAAATTCTCCATGAAGTAGCTGTCAACTTTAAAGCAGAAAGAATTGTTTGTATAGTATCACAGCACTCCAGTGGTCTAATTCTAGAAATCTACATCTAAAGTCATAACTCATGCTTTGTTGTGCTAAGTTTTCTGTTTAGGGGTGAAGGCGAGTCAACATTATCTATCCAGAATTCTCTTACCTTGAGTTCACCAGTAATTATGGAAATGGAAGTTAAATCATAGGATGTCTATACTTCCAAAGGTTCAACTGATTCCTTAGTGGCTTCTCTTTTTCTCTCAACTAGCTTTGACACAAAGGATATTTAATTTTCCTGTTTGGGGTACCATGGGATGGAGCTCAAGGCTCTTATTTTTTGCTAGGCAAGTACTCTATCACTTGAGCCATGCCTCCAGCCCAAGAATATTTCACTAAAAAGAACATCAACCTGGGGTTGGGAATGTGGCTGAGTGGTAGAGTGCTTGCCTAGCATGCATGAAGCCCTGGGTTTGATTCCTCAGCACCACATAAGCAAAAAAAGCCAGAAATGGCGCTGTGGCTCAAGTGGTAGAGTGCTATCCTTGAGCACAGAGAGGCTCAGGGACAGTGCCCAGGCCCTGAGTTTAAGCCCCAGAACCAGCAAAAAACAACAACAACAAAAAAAAGAACATCAAACCTATTTCCTAGTGACTCGCACATCCTTCCAGTCCTCCATTCCAGCTATCTCTGACCCAAATTGCCCCAACTTCCCAAACATAACTGCCTCAAAGTACTTCCTAGCATCCTGACATTCCTCTAGCTTTCTTCCACTACTGAGATTCTTGCCTAGACAGGACCTTAGGAAGAGTCTGTGCTAACTGCTTTCTTCCCTCATTCCACATCTCAAGTATTCCATGAAAAAGTGCCTAAGTAGGCTGACGGCCAGCACACTCAGGGAGGTGAGAAGCCTCTACTCTCATGGATATGAAACTTTCTCTGGAGAGACCCTGAGCCTTCCTCCTTATCCTCTGGTGCTTCCAGGATGTGAATGAAACATGGAGTCTACATTTTCCAGAGCTGTATGAGCCAGGCCAGCACAACCTGTATTTCAACAAGAAGGAATTTATGAAGTGTTTAATGCATGGGATCTACAGTTCTTTTGTGCTGTTCTTTATCCCGATGGGGACCATTTACAACACAGAGCGCAAAGATGGGAAGGACATCTCTGACTACCAATCCTTCTCCTTGATAGTGCAGACTTCCTTGATCTGTGTGGTCACAATACAGGTGTGGCCAGCAGTAATGGGAATAAGGGTACTGGGGTATGAAGCCTGTCTGGAGAGAGAGGGAGGTAAAGAGGGAGGAAGGGTGGGAAGGGAGCATCCTGAGAAGGGAGGTGGCTGGTGAGTCTTAGTTGCACATTAAACTAGTGCTTTTCAGATTGCCGTGAAGATAACCTACTGGACAATGATAATCCACTTCTTCGTCTGGGGTAGCCTGAGTGTCTACTTTTGCATTTTATTCTTCCTGTACAGTGATGGCTTGTGTCTAATGTTCCCTAGCATCTTCCATTTTCTAGGTAAGGCCCCCCAGAAAGTGGAAGTGGGAATTAACCAAGTATATTCCGTTAACAAGTGTTTACTGAAAAGCTATTACTATGTGCTAGCTCTGTGGCCAGAGATATCCCATTTATGTGACCAGGCCAATATGCTAGCAGTCCCTTATAACATACCCACACTGTCCTGTCCTGCCCTGCCTTTAGAGGGAAATAAAGCCATGTAAATTTATTTTAGCAACAAGAAGGTCTTAACTACTTCATGTTTCTCAGGAGACAAGACTGTCTCCAAATCAATAACTTCCATCTTTGGACTGGAGAAGTATCCCAGTCCTGGCTGTAACTCCCACTGTTCACCCTACCCCTTACTCAAGGATCGGTTTCAGCTTTCCCTCTCTTGTCCCCTTTTACAGGTGTGGCCAGGAACACTTTATACCAGCCACAAATGTGGCTCTGCGTTATCCTCTGTGTGACCTTCTGTATCATTCCTGTGATTGGGTACAAATTTCTCAGACCACTATTGTGGCCTCTCAGTGTGGACAAGGTGAGTGGAACAGGGAACCCATCCATAGATAATTTATGATCCTCTTTGCCTTTGTGGATGAAAATACCCTGTCTCCTGTGCTCTGGATATAGGTTTATGGCAAAATTCGTCATTTCATGAAACATCCACTGCCACCCCCAATCCGGGTCAGAATGAAACGCTCAAGCCTTCGACGTTCTGCCTATGCATTCTCCCATAAATCGGGCTTTGGTGCCCTCATCACTTCTGGCAAGACAGAGAAGTTCAATAGAAATTTTTCTGTATAAAGAGTAGAGCTCATTAGGGAAACCTCAAAATAGGCATTGCTTTTCTTCCCATGCAATTTCATAGGGAGGGTTTAGAGTCCCTGGGAACAAAGCATAAACCTGCTACGGCACTCTCTCAGGGCTCAGCCTCTTTATTCCCCAGAAGGCTGTATTCAAGTAAGGCAAGGGAGGAGGTTAGGAAAGAAACCCCAGTTATCTTCCAGAGTTGTAATATTTCAAGAAAAAGCACCCTCTGATTTCCCTCCCACTATCCCTTTCAAGTTGTAATCCTAACAAACAAATGTGGAAGTAGGGGGTGAAGTGGGCTAGTATGAGAGAGGAAAAGATGACAAGTCCTATGACTCTCAATCTGGGTCCTAACTACCATACTCAGAATAACTATCAGCCTTCCAGGACCCCACACAGACATATTCCCACCCAAATACCCTTTTCAGACTTATTTGAGAGATTTAGAGTGTCAGGGTAAGTATTTTTCTGGCTCTAGGAGGCAAAGAAGGAAGCAACTGCAAAGAAGTCGTAAGAAGCTGAAGGAGAATTTCTATATAACAACAAGAACAAATTTTAAAAGGAGGCAGCTCCTGATTAGATTGGACAGCTTAAGATTTGTTTTCTCTCCTCTCTTTGGCCCAAGAATTGACTGATACATCTTCAGGCCTCAGAACTAAGAGGAGGATGCAATGTAGGGAATTAAAAAACAAAACAAAACAAAAAAACTTTTCTTGAGGGGATGTAAGCCATATCTGGTGAGCATTTGTCTTCATTCCATAAAATTATTTTGAGAAGAAATTTTATGTACTAGAATATTGTTTCTAAGAAATGTATAGGAAAATAAATCACCTATTTTGGAGTTGAGTGACATGTAACATCTGTTGGGGCCCCAGTATCAATAATAAAGCCAAAGTAATAGCTTTGGCCCACAGACTCCCATAGCTTCCCCACTTCAAATTAGACCAACATTTTCCCTCTCCTCCTCCTCCTCACTGTTCAGCTCCACCGAACTTTTCTGTCCCTTCTTGGCTTCAGTATGACCAGGCCTTTTATCTACACAGCTCTATGATCTATGCATCCCTATTTATCCTCTGCTCATCTTTCTCTACATCTTTTTTTGTGAGTAACTTTATCTAAACTCATGACTTCATTTACTAACAGAAAAAAATCGCAACTCTGCCTCTAGCCTGTATTTCTCTGCTGAGTTCCAGATCAATATATTAAACTGACTCAGACTCTTCACTTAGTTGAGGCTCCAAAAACATAAACAATGCTCCCAACCTGTACTGATCATCTTCCCAGAAAATGTTACCAGGCTGCCACCAACATTATCACAGTCACTCAAGGCAGAATGATAGGAATCATCCTTTTCCTTCTAGCCTGATGCCCCATCAATCAACAAGTCAGGTCAATTCTGCATTCTTATTATCTCTTCTTTTCCATTCCCTCTATTACTACCATCACCTTTGCTGGGACTTTTATCACTTCTCACTTAGATTCTGGAATAAAACTTCAAAACTTATTGCCCTGGTTCTTCCTCATGTCTTTCCAGAGTAATCTTTCTGAAAGATTTATTTTTTTTATGTCAACCTCAGGCTTAGCCTACCTTGGAGGTTCACTAAACCTACCTCCCTTGACTTGTCTTCTACCACTCCCCTATTTGCATCCTCCACCTATCTTGAAATTTCTGATATTTATATCATCAAGCACACTCTTTCTATATCCTTCAGTACTTTCCCTCACCCTCGTCCTTATCCAGTGAATTCCGACTTATCTTTCAAAATTCAGGTTAGTTAAAACTAGAGCTGGGTGAACAACTGCCAGTATAGTATATTAAGTGCCACTAAATTGTACACTTTAGTTGTTTTTTTCTTTTTTCTTGTTATTATAAAGGTGATATACAGAGGGAAATAGTTATTTTTGTGTTCTGTGACAATTACCTCAATTTTTAAAAGAAATCTAGATTATGCAGGCTTTCAAGAGCTTCCCCCTAATTCCTCAGCGTGATTTATATATCTGTCTCACATATTCGATTGCTTCTCTAAATATACCTCTATCCATGACACTGAAAAGCATTGTAGTTATTCATTTATTTTCCATTTCTAGCCATTTAGTTGAATTAATCAACGATCTGTTTTTTTACCTGTATTTCTTATTTCCATAAACAGAACCACCACTCAACAGCTTAAGTCAAAAATCTGAAAGTCAGGGTGGGAAGGTGGCTCAGTGGTAGAGCACTTGCCTTGCATGCATAAGGCCCTGGGTTCGATTCCTCAGCACCACATAAGCAAAAAGAAAAAAAGCCAGAAATGGTGCTGTGGCTCAAGTGGTAGAGCACTAGCCTTGAGCTGAAGAGCTGAGGGACAGTGCCCAGGCCCGGAGTTCAGGCCCCATGACCGGACCCAAAAAAATTTAAAATTTAAAAAAAATTAAAAAAAATCTGAAAGTCTTGCTAGATTCCCTTCTGCCATTCCTCTCAATCATTTACTTGTCAAATTTCATGTCATCAATCTTTTCCCTTCTAATTAATCGAACCCCAGCATAGCATACTCATTTATAGCTATATCTGCCTTTTTGGTCTCACAGCCTCCAGCCCATCTCTTCCTTTCAATCTATCATTTACACCATTGAAAGTAATCTTTCAAATATTAAAAATTACATCCTGCCATTTGTCAGTTTAAAAGCCTCAAGTGGCTCATAATGGCTTCCCAACTTTGGCATTCCCTGCCTTTCTAGCTACACTGATCACTCTCTTGCCATTCAAAACCATTTCAGTTTCCCCAAAGTCCTGTTTTCTACGAAGCCTTTATGCTTTGACTCTTTTTATTCTCTCTCTTAGAAAATCCATCATTCCATTCTTCCTTTGGCCAGCTACTCTACTGGTTCTTGACTATCACCTTGAGTCATCTCCTGTTACCTTCATTGACAACACTATCTCCTATTCTTCCCTAGTAGAACACTTTTTACAAGTCCCTTCTGCCTATTTCTGATTTTTTGAATATTTGATCACTCCCACAGGCCCATTTTAATTGTGGCTTATTTCTCTGTTGTGCTAGGCCATAAATGATCTTGAGGGCAAGAATTGTGTCTCATTTTTTAAAATCCCTATCACCCAGCAGAATGCTACCACTTGGATTAATGTTTTTGGGGTGCTACCAGAATTTGTGCTTGCTAGGCAGATACACTAAAACTTGAGCTATGCCTCTAGCCAAAATTATTACTTTTTCTAGCTGGGTACCAATGGCTCATGCCTATATCCCAACAGAGGGTGAGATCTGAGGATTGAAACCTGAAGCCAGCACAGACAGATAAATCCTCAAAACTTGAGTTCAAGCCCCAGTTCCAAGGCACACACATGTGCACATGCAAACACACACACTGGACACAAACTTTTCCTAAACTCACTTCTTATTCTTGTAAAATGAATCTTATTTTTCTTGGTTTCCAGTTATTCTTTTCTAGATCCTGATGCTTGAACTCCAAGCCTGGACATGTCTCTGAGTTTTTTTGCTCAAGGCTAGTGTTTTATAACTTGAGCCACCCCTCTACTTCTGGCTTTTTGGTCATTAATTGGACATAAGAGTCTCTAGACTTTCTTGTCCAGTCTGGCTTTGGACCACGATCCTCAGATTTCAGCCTCCTGAGTAGCTAGGATTACAGGTGTGAACTATCAGCATTCCACAAATTTCCAGTCATTCTTTAGGGACTGTTTTTATGATAAATATTTGTTCATGGTCTCCTATCTAAAACATCTGTTTAAAAGGCTCATGCCTAGTGGCGCTGTAGCTCAAGTGGTAGAGCGCTCCCTTTGAGCTGAAGAGCTGAGAGACAGTGCCCAGGCCCAGAGTTCAAGCCCCACGACCAAAAAAAAAAAAAAAAAAGGCTCATGCCTGCAATCCTAACTGCTCAGGAAGCTCAGATCTGAGGATTGTGGTTCAAAGCCAGACCCAGAGCAGGAAAGTTCAGGAGACTTTTATCAACAATTAACCAGCAAAAAAAAAAAAAAAAATGCTGTGGCCTAATTGGTAGTAAACTGGCCTTGAGCAAAAAGCTCCGTGGCAGCACCCACTAACATCCTGCAAAAGTCCTAAAATATCACCATCCTCTCCTGCTGGCTTATATGCATCTTGGGAGAATTGAGTCAGTCTCTGCTGAGGAGCCAAGACAGTACTACATTCCAGAGTGACAACATTCCAAAGTGCTTATATGAATCTTGTGAGATCTGAGTCTGAGTCTCTCTGCTGAGGAGCCAAGACAGTGCTACATTCCAAAGTGTGGAATGACTCCCCAATAAAGGAGGGGTATGAAAAACAAGTTTGCAATTCATGATTGCCTCACCCACTCCAAGGAAAGGGCCAAAACTTTAGATGATAGACAAGGATCTTTCAAGAAAATTGTTCGTGGCCAAGAGTGGATATTGTAATTTAATATGGCTTCTCTCTCAATTTTAGAACTCTGAGAAACTAAGTCAATGAATAAGGACAGGAGGAAAAAGGGTCGTATGGTTTCAGAATGTGGGTCCTCCATTTTAAAGCGACCATAATTTGCCAAAGAAAATAAGCTAACATCTTTACTCTTCTCCAATGTTCTGTAGGAAGAATAAAGCAGATGTCTAAAGAGAAACAGACAAGATAGTGTTCCAGCCCTATAGAAAGCTCCATGAGGATCCTGCTTCTGATGCTGGGTTCTGGAGGAAATCCTTTTACCTGAGCTGGAATGAAGGAGTTTTTTCCTCTGTTGCTAACAGCTAAAACACAGAGGCAATTTCGATTTACATAAGCTAGATTCACATTCATTTCAATTGCCTCCCAGAAAGAAAGAGTTGTCACAAGACCATCCAGCTCATTCTTCACCTTTCCGGTTAAGACTTGGTGCAGTAAGTAACCTTAGTCACCATTGACAGAAACCAAGAAACACAGAACATTGTGCAAACTCCAGCCTTAAATCTAAAATGTGTACAATTTAGAGATGACACAGCATTTGGAGGAACCTAGGAATGATCCTAGGCTATTCGTTGTATTTTCCCATAACCCTATGACTCATTATTTAATAATTCAGTTCTGCAGATTCTATACTCCAAATCACACTTGAATCTATCTCCCGTCTAACTCTTCAGCCTGTGCCTTTATTCAAATCCTCTCATTTATAATAATCATTCTCAATTGTATAATCTACTCTTACTGAAGTGAGCTATCAAATGTGAGGATATGTTCAACTCACTCCCTTTCTTTAAATAATACTTCCCTCATCCTTCAGAACCAAACTCCAAATCTCTTCTTAATCGCCCCTGCCTTTGTTTCCCATCACCCATAATTATCTACTTCCTTTTCTCTGAGGTATCATGTTGTTTCATGAACTGTGTTTTTATATATTTGTGTCTGGAAAATTTGTGAAAAGTTTTGAAATGGGTGTCCTTTTAGTGGAATGTCGAGTGCTAAGGATCCTCAGGGCTTATCTGATTCCTATTTTACAAGCAGGCCATTTCTTTCTTTGGGAATATAAATTAATCTGTAGAATGCTGATAACGTTTCCTGCCTATGACAATGCCAATGTTTTAGGTGATGCAAATACATCTTGTGGAGCAGACCACAGACATCCCTAAAAGTCAAATCTTCATACGAACCCCAGTTTTAGTGTCTTATTGGTTGCCTCTTTAATGAGTGACAACTGGTCACTAATTAGTGCTTGTGGGCCCTCCCCATTGCGTCTCACACCTTTAATTCTATCAGTTATGTTGCCTCTCCGTCCTTTTGCACCTGCCATTTCTCCCACCACCTTTCCCACCCACCACTTTCCCACTCAGTCCCCACCACTCCTGAGTACCCGGGGGTGTGACATCGATCCGCTCCCTCGATTAGAACCGGACCAGGCTGCGAGTCCCAAGCGCCAGGTCCGACTTTCTCGGAGAGGAGAAGCCAGAGTGGCCTCCTCTTAGCGGACTTGCGATAGCCATTTGCCAAATCACGCCTTCCACAGGCAGCTCCTCATTTTCTCCCCATTCCGCCCTGGAGACCGGGGGGCGAGCGGGTCCCACGGTTCATCGGGGCTTCCCGACCCCCGCCACGCAAGGGTGCTTCTAAAATTACCCAAGCCCGGGTTCCGACCACGCCGCCCCCACGCGCCCACCCGTGACTCAGTCAATCCGGGCTCAGGGAGCTCAGCCCTACGGTTTCGTATTTTTCATGGGGCCCTACAGGGGGTGGGGGGCGGAGAGGAGCCCCGCTCCTTCAGGCGCGGCCCGCAGCCAGTGGTAGAGTGCTTGCCTTGCATGCATAAGGCCCTGGGTTCGATTCCTCAGCACCAAATAAACAGAAAAGGCTGGAAGTGGCGTTGTGGCTCGAGTGGTAGAATGCTAGCCTAGAGCAAAGGAAGCCGGGCCGCAGTGTCCGCCTCGCCTCCCTCCTCCGGGGACAGCGCGGCGCGTGACTCCGGCCGCCCCCGCCGCCGCGGGAGCGTGGAGCGGGGGAAGGGTGGGCGAGACCGCGGGCGCCGCGGGCGCAACCAACGCGCCGTCCGGAGGGGCGGCTCGCGGACGGCCGAGAGCGGACCAAGCGCGTCGCGCCCGCAGGGGGGGCCGGGCGTCACCAACCGCTCCGGAAAGGAGGGGGGCGCCGGGGCGCGCCGCCGGCCTCGAGACCCCGGGAGGACGCGAAACGCCGCCGCCAACGCCGCCAACGCCGCCGCCCGCGCGGAAGGACGAGGCTGCGGCGAGAGCGAGGTAAGGGGCGCCTTGCCCGAGGCTAACGGGGTTGCGGAGACCCACCGCCCCCAAGTCCTAAGTGATCCTCGGCGTCCGAGCAGGCCCTCCGGCAGCCCACGGACCCAGTCCTCGCCCACCTTCCCGCCCTAGGCCCTGCGCCCATCGGCGCCACCCTCCCGGCCCGCTCCCGACAGACCCTCGGACGAGCTGGCTTGAGCCCCACCGGACGCTCCGACCCCGAGCACCGTCCAGCCCTGCGGGGGCCTCTCCCGATCCGCCCTCTGTGGTCTCCTCCCACGGTCCTCTCGAGACCGCCACCTCCCTATGACCGATCCGCGCCCCGTAGTCATCCTGGTTCCCAAATCCGTGACCGTCCTGCAGCGGCGCGGGCTGGGGTTCCCGAGGCGGCGACCGCAGCGGGGCCTCGGCACCGCCGGTGAACACCGAGTGCCCGGCGCCAGCCGCGCATTTGTTCCCCGCTTCCCAAATTCATCTCTGCGCGGCGCCAGCTTTCGGTCCTCCCCCTTTCCTACCCAGTTTCATCTGGGAAGAACCTTGAGCTGGCGGTTTGCCGGTCCCCTGCCGCATTCTCCTGCCGCGAAGGGCACCGCGATCCCGATGGCCAAGGCTAGCCTTGGATCGCGGGGCTGGTCCTGAGGACCCAAGGCGACTGCCCCAGTGGCAGGGACCATCCGCCAGTCCCCAGCACGGTGCCCGATACGCGGCAGCGCTTATTAAATGTTATATGGGTGGGTGAATGAATGAATGAATGGGCCTAAGGCAGAGACAGGCTGTGCTTCAATGGGGAAGGTGTCTGGGTTACGTAAGGAGGAGGGAGATGAGAAGGTTTGGAGGATTTTCAGTCTTTCCATCTAGGAAAAATATATACAGCTTTTTTTCCCCTCATCCATTCATCTGATTTCATTGACATTGAAGAGTCTTTATTTGGCCTGTTTTCCGTTTGTTTGTGGCAAACCTGGGGCTGCGGAAATTCTAATTGGTTAGTACTTTAGAGGCTGCTCAGGTAATGTTGAAAGAGCTTCGCCCAGGGTTACTGCTCATCCCCTAGAGACTAGCTGCTCCCTCTGGGGTAGAATTCTGGAGGCCAGCCACAGTCCTTAAAGCTGACTCAGTGTCGCTGGGAAGCTGTGCTTCAGGACAGGTTGGAGCAATGAAGAACCTTGATTATTTTAGCGTTTAGGTCTTGGATCCCTTCCCCCCTCCCTTGCTTTTTAAGAGACTGGAGGAATAGACATCCCCCACAAGCCTTGTGTGGGATAGAGATACTTCCTAATGCTACAATAGTATGATCAAAACATGTGAACTATTTATGTCTCTTTAGACCAGTCAGGGAGTTACCACTATGTGAACAGTGACAATAAGAACACAAGCAAGGGCTGGGAATGTGTTTTAGTGGTAGAGTGCTTGCCTAGCATGCATGAAGCCCTGGGTTCGATTCCTCAGCACCAAATAAACAGAAAAGGCTGGAAGTGGCGTTGTGGCTCGAGTGGTAGAATGCTAGCCTAGAGCAAAGGAAGTTCAGGGACAGAGCCCAGACCCCCAGGACTGGCAAACACACACACACACACACACACACACACACACAAGCTAAAGATGGAATTGTGTGTGTGTGTGTATGTGTGTGTGTATGTATGTATGTGTGTATGTATATGTACTGGTCCTGAGGCTTGAACTCTGGGTCTGGACCCTGTCCCTGAGCTTTATGTGCTCTACGCTAGCACTGTACCACTCAAGCCACAGCTCCACTTCTGGCCTTTTTGGTAGTTAATTGGAGTTGAGAGTCTCCAGGGTTTTAATGCCTATGCTGGTTTAGAACCACGATGCTCAGATCTCAGCTTCCTGAGTAACTAGGATTACAGGCATGAGCTGCCAGTACCCAGGTTAAAGATAGAATTTTTAAAGAAGAGAGAGACTGAAACTGTTTTATTGATATCTGAACAGATACCATTTCTTGAGGAAGACAAAGTTCAGGGGCTACAGTTTGGGTCCATCACTCTGAGTGATGAAACACTGACTGCAAAGCTGTAGTTTATAAACTGGGAAGTAGTTGCCTACAGCATTATTCTAACTGCAGCTTAACATGGTATCAAATAAAAATAGTGATTGAGGGGAGTCTGGAGAGTACTTGTCTAGCATGGAGTTCCTGGATTTGATCACTAGCAGTGCAAAAAAATTAAAAATTAAAAAGTGATGAGTTTCTTAGGAGGCTTGGTAGAAATTAGATGTTAAACAGTAATATAGCTTAGTGAAAGGAAGAGCAGGCCCAATCAGTATCAGAAGTATTTTCTCTCCTGACCCTCTAGCACTTAACACAGTTGTCTCTTTTTGCTTTCTTTGGATTTTTTAGTGGTGTTTAAGGTCTTTTTGTTTGTTTGTTTGTGCTAATACTGGGGCTGAACTCAGAGCCTGGGTGCTGGACCTTAGCTTTTTTGCTCAAGGCTAGCCCTCTATCACTATGCTCCAGGTGTGTGTGTGTGTGTGTGTGTTTAATTGGAGCTAACAGTCTCACAGACTTTCTTGCCCAGGCTGGCTTCAAACTGTGATCCTCAGATCTCAGCCTTCTAGAGTAGCTAGAATTACAGGCATGAGCTACCAGTACCTGGCTGAAGTTCCTTTTTGAAGGGAAGCCTGCCTTAACTAGAGGTTAAATATGTTCTCACGTATTTCTAGCTTTGAATTTTTCTACCTTCTGACATGTCTTTAAAAGGTTGTAGATCATAGAAACTCAATATGAAGAGAGGCTCCTGAGCTGGATTAAGCAATACATTTTGTTTTGTAACCACTACATATTTTATGGACTTTTCTACTTTGTCCTGTGTGTAGGCCCTCTGTTAAGACCTCAGAACTCCAGAGCACCCTGTTTTATTTTCTCCTCACTTCCAATTTTAGAGCATTACCAGATAAATACAAGATGCCTGAATCTGAATTTCTGATAAACAACAGAGACTGCTATATGTTTACTTGCTAAATCTGACAACCATAATTCATAGAAAGGCTTATATGTTCTTTCTTCTCTCTGAGGCTTTTCTGCAAATCATATACAATGATTATGCACCGTGCTGAAAGTCACTTGACTGAAGAGATGGTTCTGTACAATATAGCCAGGTTGCTCAGTGTTGAGGTTACATAGAACACGGTTCTGTACAATATAGCCAGGTTGCTCAGTGTTGAGGTTACATAGAACACACATACTCAGACATTGACAGGCAATGTCATGTTTGTCAAATGAATGTCTTGCAAAATGAGAGCACTTTTTGAATGATCAGAGGCCAACATTCCTCTGCGACAGCTGGTGGTGGTTGTGGACAGGTTGTTGAGAATTATAAATATATAATATACAATAAAATTTACCCCTTTTACTATGTAATTGAGCATATTCTCACTGCCATAGAACCATTATCACTGTTTCTAGGGCTTTTTAATTTTCTAAACTGAGATTCTGCCAATGAAAGTAACTCCTCACTCTTCCCTACTTCTCTCCCGTTAACCATCATCCCACTCTCCATCTCTTGAGTTTGACGGCGGTGGGTACCTTTAATAAATGTAAGCATATGTTTTTTCCCTTTGAGAATGGTTTATTTCACTTAGCTTAGTGTCTGTAAGATTTGTCCATGTCATGGCTTATATTAGAATTTCCATGTTTGTCTGTCTGTGTATACAGCATGGTTTGTCCATTTATCTGTTGATAGATATTTGAGTTCCTTCTACATTTTGGCTATTATGAATAATGCTGACATGAACATGAGTGTATAAATAGGTTTGAATTACTGGTTTCAGTTTTGGGAACGTGGCTAGAAATTGAATTGTATAATTTTATATTTAATTTTTTGAAGAACCACCATGTTTTCTGTAACACTACCAATTTACATTTTTTCTTTTTTCTTTTTTTTTCTGGTGCTGGTCTGGGGTTTAAACTCAGGGTTGGGGCACTGCCCTTGAACTTTGTACTGAAAGACAGTGCTCTACCACTTGAGCCACAGTTCCACTTTTGGCTTTTTGGTGGTTAATTGGAGATAAGAATCTGCTAAGGATGGTTTTGAACCTCGATTCTCAGATCTTGGCTTCTTGAGTAGCTAGGATTACAGGTGTTAGCCACTAGTGCCTGGCTTCACTTTACATTTTACTAAGAGTATACACTTGTGATATTTTCACATCTTCCTCAGTAGCAGTTAACTTCTTTATTTTTTATCATATGTTTATTGGCCATGTGTATATCTTCTTTAGAGAAATGTCTACAGTCCTTTCATCACTTTGAATTGGATTATTTTCTGTTGTTGAATTACAAATATTCTGCATGAATTTTGAACATTAGTCCATCATCTTATATATATATATATTATTTGTTAATGTTTTCTCTCATGGGTTGAAAGCTCTTTTTTTTTTTTTCTCTTTAGTGGTAAGAGTTTGAATTCAGGCCCATATCCATCCTAGGCAATTACTTTACCCCTTGAGCCACTCCTCAACATTTTTTGCTTTAATTGTTTTTCAGTTAAGGTTTTGCTCTATTGCCTGGGACTACTTCCTGCGAGCGTGTGTTACACACGTGTGCCATCCTACACAAGAGTTTTTAATTTTTTAGAAGTCGAATTTATTATTTCTTTTATTGCCTCTGTGTGTGTGTGAGTTTTATTTCTTGTGTATGCCTCTGTGTATTTTGTTTTTGGGTTTATTTGTGTGTGTGTGTGTGTGTGTTTGTGTGTGTGTGTGTGTGTAAGGAGGGGTGGAGAAAGAGAGATGTTGGATTGAACCCAAAGATTCATGCATACTAAATGAGCACTCTACCACTTGAACCATGCCCTGAGTCCTTCTTTTTTTAAATTTTGCTTTAGAGATAGGATCTTGCCAGTCTTGCCAACTTCTACAAATCCTATCTCAACCTCCTCAGTAGCTGGGATTATAGGCGCATATTTGCACAAATGACTTGCCTATGCTTTCAAATCACATACAGTCATTGCCAAATTTAGTGACATGAAGCTTTTTTCCTTTTCTTTTTTGGGCTAATACTGTGCCTGCTGAACTCAGGGCCTCGTTCACTGGACTTTTTCCACTCAAGGCTAGCCCCCTACACTTGAGCCATGCCTCTACCTCTTTTTTGCTAGTCAACTGAAGTCTCTTAGATTTGAATTTGTTCTTCTAGGTTGGCTTGGAACCTCAATTCTCAGACCTTAGTTCTCATATCTCAGTCTCCTCAGGATTGCAGGCCCGAGGCTTCAGGCACCTAGCTGGCTTGTTTTAACTTTTCTTCCGTTTGCTTATTATTTTCTTTATTTTGTTTTTTTATTATGTAAGTATTTGATCCATGTTGAGGTAATATTTGTAAGAGATAGAAGATAAGGATCCAAGATAAGATTTATTCCTTTACAAGTGGATATCCAGTTTTCCCAAAACCATTTGTTGAAAAGATTATTTGTTTTATGGT